GATCACAGTATATATAATCATGTCCTGTCTGCTTAATAAACATTTAATAAATCTGGATGTGTGTTAAGAGTGATGAAGGGATCCTGAGATATGAGAGAAATGGAAAAGGTTTGAATATAGATAATACTTTAGTGCTTTTTATGTATCAGCTTTATTGTAAGAACTTAGTAAATATTAACTGATTTAATCTTCATAAGCGTACTGTGGCCAGCTGATTGGAAGAGATCTATATTTGTGCCCATTTCAAAGAGAGGTGACCCAGTGGAATGTGGAAATCATCAGACAATATCACTAATATCGCATTCAGGTAAAATTTGCTAAAGATGATCCATGAACAAGTGCAACAGTACATTGACAGGAAACTACCAGAGGTTTAAGCTGCATTCAGACAAGGACGTGGAACAAGAGATGTAATTGCTGACGACAGATGGATCTTGGCTGAAAGCAGGGAATATCAGAAAGATGTTTACCTGTACTTTATTGACTACACAGTGGTTTTCGATTGTGTGGATCGTAACAAGTTATGGACAACAATGCAGAGAACAAGTATTCCCCAACACTAATACTTAACTGTGCTTATGAGGAATCTATACACAGACCAAGAAGCAGTGACTCGAACAAAACAAGGGGACCCTAAGTAGTTTAAAATTAGGAAAGGTGTTTGCCAGGGTTGTATTCTTTCACCATACTTATTTGATCTGTATGTGGAGTAAATCATTAATGAAACAGAATTATATGAAGAAAAGCATGGCCATTTTGGTTGGAGAAAGACTCATTAACAACCTGTCATATGCAGATGATACAACCTTGATTGCTGAAAGCAAAGAGGACTGAAAACACTTACTGTTGAAGATCAAAGACCACAGCCTTCAGTATGAGTTGCACCTTAGTGTAAACAAAACAAAAATCCTCACCACTGGACCCATACATAGCATCAAGATAAATGGAGAAAAGACTGACGTCATCAAAGAATTTATTTTGCTTGGATCAACCAGCAACAGTCAAGAAATTAAATGACCTATTGCTTTAGGCAAATCTGCTGCACAAGACCTTGTTAAAGTGTTGAAGAGCAAAACTGTCAGTTTGAGGACTAAGGTGCGCTTGACCCAAGTCATGGTATTTTCAGTAGCCTCATATGCATGTGAAAGTTGAACAGTTTATTTGGAAGATTATAGAAGAATAAATGCATTTGAGTTATGGTATTGAAGGAGAATATTAAAAGTACCATGGACCACCAAAAGAACAAACAAATCTGTATTGGAAGAAGTACAGCCAGAATGATCCATAGAAGCCAGGATGACCAGACTTCATCACTCATACTTTGAACATATTATCAGGAGGGACCAGTCCCTGGAGAAGAATATTATGCTTGGTTAAGTGTTTGGTCAGCGAAAAAAAAAAAAAAAAAGCAGGACCCCCTCAACGGGATGGATTGGCACAGTAGCAGCCACAGCGGGCTCAAGTTTAGCAACAGTTGTGAGATTGGAACAGGACTGGGCAGTGTTTTGACTTGATGGCACCAAACAATAAACAACAACAAGTATTACTGGACTACTAACCACAAAGTTGACAGTTCAAACCCACCAGCTGCTTCATAGGAGAAAGATGAGGCTTTCTATTCTCATAAAGACTTACAGCCTTGGAAACCCTATACATTGTCACTATGAGTCGGACCAACTCGATGGCACCGAACAACATCAACAAAGTATTATTATTTACCCTTATTTTCCAAATGGATTCCCTGAGTGATGCAAACAGTTGATGTGCTCACAGCTAACTAAAAGGTTGGTGGTTCCAGTCTATTTACAAGCACCTGGCAAGAAAGACAGTCTACTTCTGAAAAATTAGCCTTTGAAAACTGTAGGGAAAACAGCCCTACACTGACATAAATGGGGTGGCAGTGATTCAGAATCAACTCAGTGGCAACTAGTTTGGTTTTAATTTTCCAAATACAGTGAAACAGAGAGGCTAAGTAATTTTCCCAAAGTCACATAAGTAGTGAAACCAGAACTGAAACCCTAACAGCAGGGCAGTGTGACTGTGTAATGCTAAGAGCCCGATTAAAGCTGAAGAACTGGTACTTGGAATGTACCTGGCTGTGTGAATTTCCTGTAGCAGTGCGTGTGTTGTGTGTGATGGGGGTTGGGAGGGGCAGGGCAGAGGCTGATGAGATTCTTGCAGCTGTGTCCACTGGACGTTCGAGCTGACAGGATCCACATTCAAGTCTATTGTGTCAACACCTGCATTCATCCCCATATCATGCTGGAGTTCAGTGGTCCTGGAATTCATCAATCAAGTTCAGTGTTCTAGTAAAATGCAACAGTGTGTTCTTCCTTCAGCGCCTCCACCCAGAAATTCAGTAGAGTTTGAGTCAAATTGTCTCTTTTCCAAGTATGGTGGAAGAATACAACCCTGTCGCATACATTTCTTAGTTTTAAAGATGTTTGAAAGACAACTATCTGGCCAACTGATTGGAAGAAATCCGTATTTGTATCCATTCCAAAGAGAGGTGAACCAATGGAATGTGAAGATCATTGGACAATCTCTTTGATATCCCATGCGAGTAAAGTTTTACTAAAGATAATACAGAAACGGCTACAAGCATACATTAACAGAGAACTTCCAGAGGTTCAAGCCAGATTCAGAAGAGGATGTGGAATGAGGGCTATCATTGCTGATGTCCGATAGATCTTGGCTGAAAGCAGAGAATACCAGAAATATGTTTACCTGTGCTTTTTTGACTATGAAAAGGCTTTCGATTGTGTGGATCATGACAAGCTATGGGAGAACATTGCGAAGTATGAGTATTCTGGAGCACTTAATTGTGCTCATGAGGAATCTGTACATGGACCAAGACAGTTGTTTGAACAGAACATGGGAACACTGATCAGTTTAAAATTAAGAAAGGTATGTGACAGGGTTGTATTCTTTCACCATTTTACACTGGTAAAACTCAATTTACCATTTTTCGAAAGGAGAGAAATGTAAAATATTCATCTGCAAAAAATGATGACAAAAACCACTCTTCCCATAATCCATTGCAGTGGCGCCACAGAACTCATTCCTGCTTCTGAGATGAATCATTTATACATGTTGAGTTCCAGGTTTTGATAGTCACAACTTCATCATAATCCTGTGAGCATCTTCTCCTACTTTCTCTTAGGACCTATCAGAGCAAAAATGTTGTTTCGTGGAAGTTCACAAAGACTATGGCTAGAAGAAACAATAATTCAGTGCACCACAATTCCATTTATCTGATTTCAAATTAAGAAAATCCATGTCAAAATTATATAGCTCCATCAAGTATTGTCAGTAAGGAAAACATGGGAAGAAGCATCTATAAAATTTGCCAGAACTTTGGCAAACAAAAACAAATTCATACATAGGTGCAGTTTGTCTTTTCTAAAATAGGAACTAAAGACTTAGGTCTTTAATGTAGTTAAATATTACCAGAATTGATTGTTTATAGGTATTTTTATTACTTTTTAAAAAAATAAAATACTGATTATAAGAAAGAGAAAGAAGGAAAAAAAATTACCCAGAATTCCACCCTAACCATTTGATGAACATTCTTCCAAGCATCATTATATAATGTACAGTATCTTCAGTTTTGCACAGTGGAATTATTCTATTTATACTGTTCGTGATCCTGGATATTTCACACACTATATGTCATGGATATGAAAGAGCTTATTGAAAATCATCTTTTTCCTCATTTTAAAGAAAGGAAAATAAAACTTTCATCTTTGGAAAGCACAGAGGGAACGAAGTTGTATCTACAGAAAATAGCATGTATGGGAGGCACTGAAATGGCGTCCTTATTCAGACATCTGAAATCCACCGTAAATATTTAGCATCTTCGTGTACCTTTGATAATTAAGCCACCAATTAAAACTCTGCCTTGGGGGCCCAAATACTCATTTTCATGAAAGAGCCAACGTTTTTATAAACTGGCTCTTGTGGGTCACCTCCCCCATTGCCTTGGCCCTCTCCCGCCTCTCAACTTTACCCTCCAGCTTGGTGGAAGGTTACATTATGGGAAAATAGTCCTAAAAGTCTAGAAACTTTTCAGCAGAAATGAGGTGTTTGGTACGAGGTTGGGTCAACAGTGGGGTGGGGCAGAGGAGGGATGTGTAGGTCTACTGGACAAGAAAGGAGGGAGGTGGGATAGAAAGGCACTGTAAGAAGAAAGCCCTGAAGTTAGAGAAGGCTTTCAAATACAAAAGCAGGAGTTTTAGCTTGCTGAATGATCTCTCACAGTGGCGATGGAAACTATACTGGTTAATAGAAAGTGCATAATGATGCCCAGGGCCAAGCCATACCTGCTGTACCTTAGACTTGCCTGAGTGGGAGACCCTGTATCACAAAGATCTACTTTCAAGGAGAAGCATCTCCATCTTGTGGACTTCTACAGTATGGTCGTTGAAGACTCTAACCTCATTGTGTTTTTGCAATTATAATTTGAAATGGTGTTCAACACAGGACCAGAGAGCCCTCATCTTGTTTGCAGAAGTTTTATGAGTGCCCTGTGGTAGCAAGGTATCCAGGCTTCACATCCCTGCTTTCATGATCAGGTTAGCTCTACATTAAAAACTCATCAGTGAGAAACAGAACAACTGAGCGCAAGCAGAGCCCAAATGTGCTAACTCCTATTACTGGGCTCCCTCCACAGTGTCCCCTTAATCTCTGCTCTGACACAGTTGAAGAAACTGATCTCAGGGCCAAATGACTGTTGCAACCTTGTAAAATCATCATCTAAGATTCTGGGGTTAATAGAGAGTAATTCTGTTTTTAAGGGGCTTTAGAAAGAAACAATTTCTGTCCTTTTGCCTTACATTCTCACATTATCTTTAATAGCAAAGTTTTGACTCAAGCTGAAGAGTTGCATTTTACAGCTAAAATAACAATGTTTTGACTCAAGATGAAGAGTTGCATTTTACATAAAAACTGACTGGATTTTTTTAAAACCTCCCCCCCCTTTTTCTCTCTCTCCTGTGTAGTATATAGTGGAATGCCATGGGATTACTCTTCTTCCTCAATTCTTGGGCATGTACCGGCTAAATGTTGATGGAGTTGAAATATATGTGATTGTTACAAGAAATGTGTTCAGCCACCGTCTGTCTGTATATAGGAAATACGACTTAAAGGTGAGATTTGATTTTATGAATTTTTTTTTTTTTAAGTAGCTCAAATTTACCCATCCATATTGTAAACACTGTAATTGACAAGGTCAGTTGTTTCGAAGGTACTCAAAACATAGAACCACCAGGAAACGAGCAGTATTCTAATTCATGTTAAACAAGCATTGCTTGCTGGCTTTACCAGAAGACATTTGTGCATATGAGAAATCATGTTTACTTTAATTCAATAAATATGTATCAAACACCAGCTATATACCAGGCACTGTTCTAAGTGCCAGGAATAGTATGATGAACAAACCAGACCAAACTTGCACTCAAGGAGCTAACATTCTGGTAGTAGGAAGACAGTAAATTAAATTAATAAGTAAATTGTGTTTTGTTGTGTTACGTTCCACTGAGTCAGTTCCACCTCATAGTGACCCCATATAGTGTTTCTGAGACTTTTAAAATCTTTACAGGAGCAGAAAGCTGCATCTTTCCCTCACAGAGCAGCTGGCGGGCTCGAACTGCAGACCTTGTGGTTCACAGTCCAGTGCTTTTTGTATGGAGCCACAGCAGTCCCAGTAAATTGTATAGTGTATTATAAAGTGATCATTGCTACGGAAAGAAAGAGGAAGGGTGGAGGAAGGGATGCAGCTTTAAATAGAATGTCAGGAAAAGTTTCACTGAGAAGACAACATTAGAGTAGACATGAAGAAGGTGAGGGAATGAACTGTAGGAAGAACATTTACTGCAGATAGATCCGCAAGTACAAAGGGCCTGAAACCCATTTCAAAGACTGAATAAGAGGGGGCCACTAAAAATTATGTGAGTATTGTTATCTGACCTGACTTCTTGGATCACAGACTGTTGAGTTGAGGAGAAACAGAGGGGAGAATGTCCACCTTAGGGGTTGGCAGATTGTGGCAAATATGCTTGCCAAATTCAATTCTCATGGCCCAGTTTTCTAAATAAAAGTTTTATTGTAACACAGTCATGCCCTTTGTTTCTGTGTTGTATGTGGGTGCTTTTGTATTATAATGGCAAAGTTAAGTAGTTATGACATGTCATAAGATTCTTATGGATCAGTAAAGACTAAGGTGCACTGAACCCAAGCCATGGTATCTTCAATCACCTCATATGCATGTGAAAGCTGGACAATGAATAAGGAAGACCAGAGAAGAACTGATGCCTTTGCTGATGAAGAATATTAAACATGCTATGGCCTGCCAGAAGAATGAACAAATCTATGTTAAAAGAAGTACAGCCAGAATTTTCCTTAGAAGCAAGCATGGCGAGACTTCATCTCAGGTCATTAGGAGGGACCAGTCTCTGGAAAAGGACATGATGCTCAGTAAAGTAGAGGTCAATGAAAAAGAGGAAGACCCTCAATGAGATGGCTTGATGCAATGGTTATAACAGTGGGCTTAAACATAAGAATAATTGTAAAGATGGCTTAGGAATGGGTAGTATTTTGTTCTATTGTTCATAGAGTTGATATGAGTTGGAACCGTTATGAACCAGGAAGCCTAAGATAGTTTCATTTGACTCAGTGTTTTTTATATTAGGAATTAATAAAAAATTATAGACATTTATTTAAAATAATAATGAAACCATTATGTATTAACAAACTAATATTTTAATGAAAAATAACTATTTTGTGAAAACATTGTTTGAGAAGTGGTCTAGTTTTATATTTCTGCAGATCTCTTTAATGTCTGACTTACTAGAAGATAGTCTTACCAAGTATTGCCATCAGTCTGTTTTGATATGTTATTTGACTAAAGGATATGAAGAAAGAAAAAAAAAAAAAATCTGTCTTTTGACAAATGCTATATGTATTTGGAAAGGCAGGGGGAGTGTTCTAATAACCCTCTCAGATAATTGTGGATAGTCTTCTTTACGTCAAAACTCAACAAGTATAATTTCTGAAAGGTGAACTGAAGTGTGGAATCTGAAATCATATCAGTAAACTTTTTATACTATCTTACATTAAAACCTGTTTGTGTTGCACTTTGAATGCATCATTTTGTTAACACTGTGCACTGGTCATTTGGAAAGTATGGATTCACTAATTTATGAGACTCCTTCAAATATGAGTGTATTTCATTAGATGAGAAACTCAAAATGTTCATGGAAAAATTCATTAATGCAGATTTTCCAGAAACATTTTGAAGCTCCCTTGTACAATATCAAAAGTTAGATTCATATCATCAAGTTTATCAAAAAAATATTTATGCTGTAAAGCTCAGCATGCCAGGTCCAAGTTTTTAAAAATTGTAATTTTCACTCCAAATTTTATAATTGACACTGATCACTGTCACTTGTTTTCCTTGAGGTGGTAGCTTCACTTTGTTTTTGAGCAAATATATGGCAGGTACCCAAATCTGAAAAACCAACATGTGTCAGGAGCTCTTTCAAGTACCAACAGGGTTCCATGGGGAACACACTTTGAGAAATGTAGATAAACAGATTCACTCTTCCAACATAACCTTGCCCCATCTGCCTCCAAGCCTTAGCTCAATCTATTTTGTTCCTCAGGAATTGTCTCTGGTGGAATCTCCACCACCTACTCTGCAGGATTTTTTCCAACACTGCCTCTTTTTGGAGATGCTGTTTAGTGTATTCCACTGAGTAGAGCAAAGCTACTTGTGCTCATCTGGTTCTTCCATGGAAGAGGCCAGAGTGACCTCTAACACTGCATATCCTGCAAGTTCCTTCACCTTTATGACCCTCAGATTCTTCAACTATAAAGCATGAGTAATTTGACCTAGCTTTGCAGAGTTTGTTGTAAGATTGAATGAGATGTGCACATGCCAGATCTAGCATAATGCATAGTGTATGTGGAATATTCCGTGAGTTTTGATTATCAGATCCCTTTTACTAGTGTGTGAGCACCTTCAGGGCAAGTGTCATGTCCTACTTACTTTTTTATCCCCCAGAAATTACTTAGATAGTGCCTTGTGCAAGTAGGCATCAAGTAAATATAGTTTGATGCAAATTTGACTTGTATAATGGATAATTACAGTTTTAATTTGCCTTGATCCACATAATCTCATCTTCCTTTTTAGATCTCTAGGGTATCTGCCTAGAAGTGGGATTGCTGGATCATAAGGTAGTTCTATTTGTACTTTTGGCGGAAACACCATAGCATTTTCCATAGAGATGGTACCATTTTACAATCCTACCAGTAGTGGAGAAGGGTACCAGTCTACCTTCATCCTCACCAGCGTTTGTTCTTTTCTGTTTCATTTATCAGTACCATTTTAGCAGAAGTGAGATGGTATCTCATAGCTTGCATCTCTCTTATGGCTAATGATTGCAAGCATTTTTTTTAAGTTTTTGTTGACCACTTGAAGTCCCTCTTTGGCAAAGAAGTCTGTTAATGTCCCTTGCAATTTTTTAATTGGGTTGTTTGTTTCTATCGCTGTTGTCATCTCCCTTTTAAGCTTGTACAATAAATGTTTATTTTATTCTTTTGACCCTTTGTTCTTGTCAGTGTCTTTAGCTGTGATGGGACCTCTACATTTGGTATAAGGCATATCTCAGACTCTTTGGTGTTAGCTTACTAACCTTACTTTGCTATTTTATTTTATGTTTTAATTTTTTAGAACTTGGATGAGTGGTTTTTCATGTTAATGATATGCATTTACACAGAGATGAAATTTCACTGAGAGTCAAAAGTAGAGTGAATTGTATTGTTGTTGTTGTTGAGTGAATTGTATTGTAGGAGATGGAAAATATACACACAAACCAAAAATTTGTTTAAAGATGTGAAGTACAATGAATAGTTTCTTACTCTGCTCAGTAGCATAGGAAGTGCTCACAAGTCACAAATGTCCCTAATTTTTGGAGGGGAAGGGGATACCCTTTATTAAAAATCAATGAGTAAATAAAAATATGTTTGTCCCGTATCTAGAACTTCCTAAAGGATGGAAAGAAGCCCTAGTGTGGTGCTGTTGTTAAATAAGTTCTGGGCTGCTAACCACAAGGTTGGCAGTTCAAACCCACCATCACTCCTGGAAAACCCTCTACAGGGTCGCTAGGAGTTGGAACTGACTTGACAGTACTTAACAACAACGAAGAATGGAAGGAAAATAGACAATTGCAAGTGATAGCTCATGGGCTCATTTTGGGGCACAAGGACTGTGTGCTGTGGCGGTGGAATGGTTCCCCCAGGTTTTCCTTCTTGAACTGTTCTCATTGTCCGTCTTCATTTGGTGGGTCAGTGTCCTGCACTCTCCTCCTCCACTGATTCCCAAGACACGGAGCATTTCCATAGGGCTGGCCGCAGGGTCTCTGAGATCCCATCAGTCTCTCTTGGAACTGAGCACATGGGGCGGGGCTGGGTGGGGGGAATTGACCTGGGAGTCTCAGAGGTCTCTTTGTTCTGAGTTTCCCCATTGGTGGAGTGTAAGTGCCACACATCCTCATCAATGCTGAGGGCTTTTAAACAGCCTGATTTGCTTTAATAAAGGATGGCAGTTGTGTAAAAAAATGTTATTTAAGAATGGCCAGCTTAAAAGTGACTTAAGCTTTTCTCTAGTTATATATAACTTTTTGTAATGATTGGCTAATTCAGGTATCCCAAGGCAGTAAATGTCTGTCTCGGCCCTGGTCATGTAAACAAATAGCATCCCTGACCTCATGAAAGTTTGATAATCCAGTGCTGAGGGGGAGGGAGAACAGTAAACTTGTCTGTGATCTTTCCCTCACCATGGATTCAGTAATTCTTCATCATGTGAAGGTCACTGTAAGGACCACAAAGAATTAATATTCATTGTTGTGTTCACATATTTACAAGGTTAGTGGACCATTTGTTTTCCAACTTGGCTTTTGAATTAAAATCTACAAGCAAAAGGAAAGCTGCCGTGCTTGAAGTACAAGTAGGGAAGGGATTGGAAGACTTCCCTCTCAACTACCCAAGAGCTCTGAGGCATCGTTTTGGAAACCACTGGAGGAGAATATAAATTGCTTGAGATATCAAGAATTATATTTTATTCCACTTTATACCTCTGCTTAGCACAGGGCCTGATGCAAAATAGGTACAAGAATACGTGCCTTCGAAGGAACCTTCAAAGTGGAGAGGGACAGAAAGTGTCCTTAGGGGCCTACTTACAATAGTTAGCTAGAAGTGGCCATCAGTAACTCTAAAGCAGTGAGAGGGGAATAAATCTTACAGAAAAGGCCATCATCTGAAAGCCGTAATATGAGAAAAATACATCTAATGGTTACTGCACCCATCTGATGGTCCTCAACAGCTTTGAAGATAGAGCAATTGATGGAAGAAGGAGAGTGTGCTTGGGGACTATCTTAGTTTTCTAGTGCTGCCGTAGCAGAAATACCACCATGGTGGTTTAGAGAACAGAGATTGATTTTCTTATAGTTCTGGAGACGAAAAGTCCACTCCAGGGCCTTGCTCTGTCCTAGTTTCTGGTGTCTGTCAGCACCGTGAGTGTTCCTTTGCATGTAGGTGGGTCCTCACATGTTGTCTGTCTGCCCTTGTCTTTTTGTAACTCAGAAGTGATTAGGTTTAGGATCCACCCTACCCTAGGATGACTTTATTCACATAATAAATTATTTCCCCTATTTCCAGACAGAATCACATGCACAGGTATAAGGGTTAGGGATTCAACTCGTTTTGCGGGATGCAATTCAATCCATAACAGGGTCCAAAGTTTAGTAAAGTATTATTCAAGTGATTGTCAATTTTCTGATTTCTAACAAGTGGACAAGAAACAGTAAAACAGCACAGATAAATGCCATAGGGAAAGGGTTGGACACAGTGGTCCAGGGACAATACCTGGAAAAGGAGGAGAAGCATCAACCAAGCCGAGTGAGGGGAGAGAAGCTCACTCAGAATGAGCCTCCAAGGCCAAGTGGCGCTGATGCAGCAGGCCCGTACACTGCCCAGGAACATTTTAAAATTTTAGACATGGGAATCCTAGTGCTTCACATGTGCATGTTTTTATTATTTCTCTGTGTTGCAGGGCTCGACAGTGGCTAGAGAAGCTAGTGACAAAGAAAAGGTAAGTTCTGTGACCTATCCTTCCCACACTGTTGGGGAGCATGCTGGAATATCACCTCTCCTTTCTCTTGTTTCTGGCTTTTCTCTCCCACCATTATTGTGATCCTTCCTGTCTCCTCGCCGGCTACCACCTGGGAGGAGCATGCAATTGAGCTAAGAAGTGTTGTTCATCTTTCTTCCTCAGAGTAGTGTCTGTACTGCTTTGTTGAATAATGAAGTGGTCGTTAGTTGTGAGTATGATCAGAAGAGGCAACTGTTCACAACTAACACGCAGCATGGTTTATTTTTTCCTTTGTTAACTTTTTTTTTTGGTGAATTGAGTGAAGGTTTACAGACAAGATCATCAGCTTTACATTCAACAAATTATACACATTGTTTCATTTCAATGATTACAATCCCCTCCCTGCAACAATAGTTACCCTACTTCCTCCCAGTGACTCCCCATTTACATCTTATATTTCTGCACATGAACAAAGCAAAAATATGTAATGTACACATACAAAACAAAATATATATATTCATTTAAATGTCCAAAGGACATATTCTGAAAGCTAGTCTTCTGCCTTCAGCATTCTTCAGTCCATGGGACTAAAGCCCACAGCTGCTCTGTCTCTCCATGCCACCACATCTGCCAGTGTCTCTGCTATCACTACTTCTCTAGGTAAGATCTCATGCTCCACCCATGCGCTTCCTTCTTGATGGATCTGGGATCATTGCTTCCAGAAATGAAAATTGAACAATTCCCTGCTTTTAGTTACATATCTCCCACAATTACAGTTGTGACCATCACAATTAATACTGCTAGCAATTACTCACAATTGAATCATAAAATCCAATCACCATTATACCCCAACCTGTTTCACAAGATCCATCTGGAAACGAGAACTATTCCCCGCATTCTGAAACTAAGCACACTAATGAAAGCTTGTAAGCCAGCCACTTCATGCCTTTATAGCCTTCCATTTTTGATAGCCAGTATCCAAATTACCCATCCCTATTAACCTAGTGTAGGAGTCCTGGTGTGGCACTGTGGGCTAATGCAAAGTCGTTTGAACTGCAAGGTGGGTGGTTCAAGCTCATCAGCTGCTCCTGGGAAACCCTATACAGGGTCACTATGGGTCGGAATTGACTCAACGGCACTTAACAACAACAATATCAACCTAGTATACTTAGGAAACAAGCTTGTTCCTTGAGATGAAGAATCTTTCCATTCTGGTTGGAATTTTGAACAACTGCATCCAAAAGCAAAAGTCTTGTCCATCAAATTGTAGCAATTTATACTTGCTAACAGTATTAAACATCTTTATCTTCCTCTGTTTAAATTCTGGCCAGCTAGCCATACAAGCTAGGTCAAATGGGTACTAGCTGCAAGTTTGGGAGTTCACGTACACCTCCCTGCACTTCAGACAAGCTGGTTGCTTCACTCTCAACCGCAGTGCCCAGGGCCTAAGTCATCTACCTAAACTTGAGATCAGCTAGGCCCTTCCCTTCTCTCTCATCTCAAAGTCAATGGATATCAATGGAACATGACCAAACTTAGCCCATGTCTTTATTGCTGCATTTCTCCCACTTGCACTCACAAGTAGATCCATGTGGTCACGAGCAAACATATTAGACTGCTTGTGAGTTACCTTTAAGTTTCAGTCCTAGAAGAGGGGTTTCCCTGGTGGGCTAGCTTTTCTTGCCTTGATGTCTCCAAAGCAAAAAGCTTGCTATGTGACATGCTTCTAAAAACTCAGCCCCTATGCAGAGAACTTATGATAAAAAATGAGCTTACCTCCATAAACAACTGCCTCCTGTGCCATGAGGCCAGAACTGGATGGTACCTGGCTACCATTATGGATTACTTTGATCAAAGATTCTATAGAAGAATCCTGAGCAAAGGGAAGGAAGAATGCAGAACAGAATTTCAAATTCTCAGTGGAATCCTGAACTTCTGAAGTTAGTGAGGCTGGTAGAGCCCCTGGAACTATTGCCCAGAGATAATCTTTAAACTTTAAAAACCAAACAAGACTATCTCCTGGAGTCTTCACTGAATGAAAAAAAGTGTTTCTCTTCATAAATAAAATATATCTACCTTGAGCTTTGTGCTCTTTTAAAGAATTATATATGTAATATCAAAATGACAACAGCAACTCGAAAGGTTATATGAGAAGCTTAGAAGACAGTGTGTTAGTCAGTAGTATTGGAACAATTTGGGGAAATATAACAAGAATATTTGCACAAGTTGAAGCCAGGATGGTGAGACTTCATTCCTCATAGTTTGGACATGTTATGAGGAGGGACTAGTCTCTGGAGAAAGACATCATGCTTGGCAAAGTGGAGGGTCAGCGAAAAAGAGGAAGACACCCCAATGAGATGGATTGGCATAGTGGCAGCAGCAATGGGCTGAAGCATAACAAGTGTGAGGATGGTGCAGGACCAGGTGGTGTTTTGTTCTATTGTGCCAAGGGTTACTGTGAGTCGAAACCAACTAGACAGCACCCAACAACAACAAAGCCAATGAATAATTCTCAGGACTCATCCTCCCTGACGTTGAAGAAGCATCTGATGTGAATGTTCTGAATGTTCTCTTCCTCTGATTTCTGAGACATTATGAAAGTGCAAGTTTCATGAAACAGCCTGGCTTCTAAGGAGCATTCTGGCTGTACTTCTTCAAATACAAATTTGTTTGTTCTTCTGGCAGTCCTTGGTACTTTCAATATTTTCTCCAACACTATTAACTCAAATTCATCTGTTCTCTTACCATCTTTTCATATTCATTGTCCAACTTTTACATGCATATGAAGTTATTAAAAATACCAGGACTTGGGTCAGACGCACCTTACTCCTCAAACTGAAATCTCTACTTTTGAACATTTTAAAGAGGTCTTGTGCAGCAGATTTAGCTAATGGAATATGTCATTTGATTTCTTGGCTGTTGTTTCCATGAGTGTTGATTGTGGATCCAAGCAAGAAGTCTTTGTCAACTTCAAACTTTCTCCATTTATGCATTCTGTTGCATTTTTGACAACTTTCAATTTTCCTAGAGTTATACTTCATACTTTCCATGTTCCAATTATTATGGATGTTTTCAATTGTTTCTCCTTATTCTGAGTTGTGTCCCATCAGCAAATGAAGGTCCTGAAAGCTTTACTCCATTTGTGTCATCATGGTCAACTCTACTTTGAGGAGGCAGCTCCACCCCAATTGTATTTCGAATACCTTTCAACCTGAGGGACTCACCTTCCGGCACTAGATATGATAATATTCTGGTGTTATTCATAATGTTTTCACCTACTAGCAGTGTATCTGACGATGTTCCTCTGGCTTTAACAACAGGGAAACCACTGGTGGTCCTGTCAGTGGGGATTAGTAGCGTAGATGGTAAATTGCAAGGGTTTGAGAAATGAGGAAGAGCAAAGGACACAGTGAAACCTTCTTTGGTTGTTTCTATTTTTGTTATGCATTAGAAAGTATACTTTTACATTTCCAACCTACATGTAAATTACCCTGAAGGCACAAGCTTTGGCCAAAAGAAGAAGAAATGGTTAACTTCCATGCTGCTATGAGTAAACATTTCTCATAGGTACCAGAGACTGAAGAAGATATTTAAGTTTCAGTCCATGAAAAGCTCAGAGGTGTAGTACAATTGGGATTTTTCTCCCTGGAGAAAATAGCTGGATTTTTTAAAGAGCTACGCATACTTCTCAATATCCTAACAAGCCAGCCTAACCTGAATAGAACTGTGGACATGATGGCTTCTGCTACGCTCCATTAGTTACTCTGTTTTGACTTCGTTCCCAGGTCCTTTGAGACTTTTGCTAGAAGGTCTTTTATTTGTTTATTTTTCATTTTGGTCTCTTCAGTTTCAGTCAACAAGGCCTTGTTCTGCTCTGACAATAACCAGTGCCAGGAAAACTAGTTAAAATTACTAGAGTAACTCTTGCTGAAGCGTAAATCATAAAACACGGAAATGTCGGAAGGAAAGCCACAAAGATTGACTTTCTTGGAACTGTAATATTTCAGCAGAAGCAGAACACTGAGTTACCTGTCTTTCTTTCCACTACTTTGCCTGCAGAGTCACACATTTCAGAAATGCCTGGCCAGTAGCCAGAGTTCCATTGTCTTCCTCACCAAAAAAGTTTAGAACCTTTCATTGGTGTACATTTCTGTGAAAAGGCATGAGTATGTGGAATTTATTTGACATAAACTAACTTTTCTGGAGATTCTGCCAGGCTGCTGTTAGTCTGTGTCTGGTGGTAGTGGTGGTTATGTGCCGTGGAGTTGGTTCCGACTCATAGCGAACCCGTAGAGGGTTTCTGAGAGTGTAAATATTTACGGGAGCAGAAAGCTTCATCTTTTCCCTGTTAGTTTTGAACTGCTGACCTTGAGGTTAGCAGCGCCACTCATAACCACTACGCTACCAGAGCTTCTTAGTCTATTTCTAGTGTGTGGCAATCATTCTCTGAACATCTCCCTTGCAGATAGGCTTAGTGAAGTCAGAAATAAGAGGGGCCTTGAGAAATCAGAGTCCACCCTCCTCAGCCTACAAAGTCGAGACCCAGGAATTTAAGTTCCCCATGTGGTATCGCACAATTAGTAGCAGAGCTTAATCCTTATCTTAACCTGAAATCTATTTCTTTAATGTTAATTTTGACGTATTGGGAATTATCAAAGTTATGTTAAGAGCCGTTGAGTCGATTCTGACCCATAACGACTGTGTATAGGGTTTCCAAGAAGCAGCTGATGAGCTTGAACCACCGACCTTGCAGTTCAAACGGCTTTGCAGTCTGGCGCATTAACCCACAGTGCCACACTATGACATGTGTTGAATACTTACGTAACAGAATGGTTCAAGACCTTCTCCAAGGTTCCACAGTTATTAAGCAACAGAGCCAGTGTTCGAACCAGCTAGTCCTACTCTAGAGCTCGCATGCTGACCACTGGGTAATACCGACTTCTAAACTGAGAGCCCCCCACCTTTTTTTATTTTGTAAAGAATGTATTATTAAAAATTTG